ATAATAACGTGCATTTCTGCCGGGACTGAAACTTTGTGCCGATGTAGACAGAGTGCCGGTGTTTACAGAGGCCGGTATTGACAGAGTCCACTGTATACTTGTTCTATCTGACTTCCAGCTTCTAACATGACACTCAAATTGATGGCTAGAACACATGGACATCCAGAAGAAAGTGGGCTAATGTCCACCACCTGGACGGACAGGGATCATGGAGGGGTGATGGCTTCGGGGTGGGGAGGGGGATAGCTATTGGGTGGTGTGTGCTAAGTCACTAATGGCTCCTAATGGTGCTGATTGCTTCCCGGCTCATCAGCAAGAAGTCTTATTCAATCTGAACATTCCCCAGCCTGAACCAGTCAGCTGTAATGACAAGCCCAGGTGATGGCTCAGCATCATTACAACATAGCCTCATCCCACAGCCAGCTTCCCATGGAGGATGGCTGGAGTCTGAGAACATCTATCTTGTCTCTGTATCACACACAGACTCAAGCATGCAAACAAAGTTGCCTTTTGTTTTGAAAACATGTAAAAATATTTACTTTGGCCTTAAATTTTACAGCCAAATGATATTTAGTTACTTTTCTGAGAAAAACTGTTTTAAGCCAGGTATTTATGTAAGGATCATTTGTCCAGTGCAATATTTATCTGTGAATCTATCTATCATCATGCAGCGACCAAAAAATAATCTGTGCATCACGGGATGAGATCTATTTAAATAACTTTGAGCTTTACCACTTGAAATGTTGTTTGGTTTCAAATTGTTCTATGGTTTTGCACAGTCCATGAAAATTAGAGGTAACTGACGTGGAATATGTGCTTCTGCTTCTGTTAATCTTATCAGTACCTACTAGAGCATTTATTCCAACCTCAGCACCAGATAATGTTTCAAGCCTAATTTGGGGATACAGGGGGCAGAGGTTCTCTTCTTGCTGGGCTGGGGAAAGGGACCCTGTTCTACACAGTGTTGGTAGGCAGGGGAGATGGGTTTGGCAAGGGGACCCTGCCCCACTATGAATGGTAGGGGACAGGGAAAGGGTTGCCCTGCTACAGATGGGGTTGACTGGGACAGATGTAGACTAATGCTTAGTCTCTGAATATGTATAATTTTGATAGTAACAAACAAGCCCATTTAAATTGAAAAGCAGCCCCAGTGAGATGGGAGTAGACTTGCTTCATTTAGGGTTTTAGCATTGCAGGGAGGGTAGACTAATGCTTAGTCTCTAAATATATATAATTTTGATAGTAACAAACAAGCCCATTTAAATTGAAAAGGAGCCCCAGGGAGCCCAGAGATTCAGAACCTGAGGAAATCTAGACTTGCTTTATTTAGGGCTTTAGCACTGCAGAGAGGGCTTGGCAGTGGGGAAAATAATGTGGTTCAGGGACTGTAAGACAGACTACAGGGAGGGCTGTGCTGGAGAGGAAATAATGTGGTTCATGGACTGTGAGACAGACTAGGGCGGATGCAGTGGGGTTGGGGGTGAAGAGTTAGGGAAGGAGACCCTGTTCTGGGCTGCGCTGGATGGGGAAGGGTTTTCATGTCTGAATGAATGCTACTGTGAAAACAGCAGGGTTCCCTGCCTGAGACCAGAATGGTCAGGGATGTTGGTGAGTGTCCCAGATGTGTGAGTGAGAGCGGCATCTGGGCATAGTGAGACTGCACTTCAGGAAACCATGGGTGTATAGTGTTCCCTGGAATTATCTCCCTCCATCTAAGACATCACACACACACAACCAGCAATATCATCAACAAATTATCTCTTATCATAAACCCACAGGATGCAACTGAGCAGTTTACTAATGAACATACATGAAGGTTAGGTCTGATCTTAATTAACAAATCCATGTACCGGAAAATATACTCTGCATCCTCATTTCATATTCAATGAATGGCAAGCTAGTTCTACATGGTATTAAGGTCAAGGTCAAGGTCAAAGCAACAATTACTTTTGGTACACTGGAACTTAAAGAAGACATTTTTCATGAAAAATTTCAGAGCTTTTTAGGATTATATGTCAGATAAATTCAAATCTCCATCTGATTCAGTCACCAATAGCATGAGCTATGTCAAACGTCAGAAAGGCGCTCCACAATAGATGTTTTCCGCTAGACTGTGAAACATCTCAACACGCCTGTGTACAGACTGACTCCATCCTTATCAAAGTAAAGCTGGGCAGTTAGCCTCAGCGGTCTTGGCCAATCACTTCACACTTATCACAGCTGGCTAGATGGTTGAGGAATTCTGATAAATTAGAAAACGTGGGTGCTTCATTAAGACCTTCTTGGAAATCAGCACGTTAGACTTGCCACCAGACTTGTGGAAAAGTTTGGATGAATAAATGTACATAATATTGGTTTTGATTGACAAAGGTTACAAAAGCAGTCTGTGGCAAATGGTTCAAATCCATGAGTCCAAACCTATCTCATAGAATCGTCTTCTGTAGATCTTACTGGCTATGTGGCAGACGGCAACTGATTCCCAATGATCATTTGTTTCAAGATGAAATACAGTCTCTATATGAAAAACCAACTAATAAATTCATATCTCACTTGAGTGAAAAAGCAAACACTTGATGCCAGAACTAGTTTCAGTCTGTAGATCGTGAAGGTCAGTAAGAAAAACAAAACAACAACAACACTGTCCTTCCTTGCAAAATCCCATGCTGGAAAATATCAGTGTTATCACTCGACGAGATAAACATGTTAACTGACCACAAAAACTAAACATCATCTATATAGTTCACAACTTTTGGTATTATCCTCACTGATTATACATGTCTCTTGTGCCAGGTGTTGCCTGGAAACTGGCATAATTAAAGGTTCATTTCAAGTTGAAGAAAATATAAGAGTACATTTCAAGAATTTGCTGTCCTCGGAGTTCCACTACAAAAGGGCATATCTCAAGGTGCCTATCGAAAGCTGAGCGTAAGTCAGTTGGTGATGAAGGGATGTGAGAGAAGGAACCGAGAGACGGAGGTCATTGACAATCAAGAGGAATTTATTATATGTCATTCAAAACCATGTACATTCGCCTGTTTACTTGAAAATAGTTGTTTTATTCAAAACTGTCATATCTAAAAGTTCTAAAATAAAAGGTATATTAACATTGTATTAATGGTATAGCTAAGTAACAAAGTCTCTTCCTTTATACTTGCCCAATTATTTGTTAAAATTATATAGGTAATCTCTGCAAAGCCATTGCATCAATTGCAACAGTGAGAGCATGGACTTAGAAAAATAAAATATAAATTTCAGAATTTTTACTGACAATGTTGGGCAGACTACCTGCTAGGTCTTGGACTAGGTGGATCAAGATTGCAAGGTTTGGATCATTGAAGCTGGGGTGTTCAGTTGTTACCAACAGCTGTCTACTGGAATCGGCCATGGCTGCCTAACACTGGCACCATTTTTATTAATTTGGAAAGGCAACTGATAAGACATCACTTTAATACAAAAACGGGTAACAAGAAACTGACATCTGTTGTTCAGCTAAAGACACTGCTATATATACTGAAGCAATGTGGAGATAACATATATATGAACAGGTATAAACATATTCCAAATGCTAGGAAGAGAATTCCTACCAAATATTCACAGTTTATACTAGACAATAAAAACTACATGCCACTTTACCAAATAGTAAGCATTTCAACATCCAGCATATTGAACCATTGCTATAATTCCTTATTGGTTTCCATGGAAACAACACAAAGTAACCCACTTTGAAAGTTCAAAGATTTGAAATCAGATCGGCTGAAGGATTCTATCTATGATCTAGCATTAGAACTTTACATTCAGTGAGAATCATAAAAACTGATGACTAGGCCAAACATCAACTGAAGAAAACTTTAACAAAAATGTTTTGAGTAAGAAAAATAGATTCTGATATGAGACAAGTAAGCTATTTCCGATGTACCTAATTATTTGTCCCTCAGTTCGAGCACAAAAACTTCAGAGTGAGGGGAATGGACATAATTTTTACAGTGATTCATGCTGAAAATGTAATCAAATCGGCCCGATTTCAAAGCGGAAATTAGAACTTCATAAACTGACTTGACATTCTTCTAGATTCTCTGAGGCTGTAGAAGATTATATCTCTGAGTACAAATATGAGGCGTACAACTGGAAGACGATCTGTATCCTCCATGACTTTTCCCTGCATGGAGTGTGTGCTATCCCTTGTATATCCTGCTACATGATATAGGAAACTCTATGCTTCCTGTGACCCCAAACTTCTGGAAAATACATCTACAACCCGCCTATTTATATCTTTTATCTATCTCCATCCCTACATGCCCAAGCCATCATTTCAAGAGGAATATATAAATATATAAACACTAAACTCGAGCCAAATCTTTCAACATTACCCAGCTACTAAAAATAAATATATTTTAAAATAAGGTTTCTCAGGACAACCTCACTGGAAATAAGCAGGGTAAGTGACTTTGTAAATTCTGTCATCCCTAACCTTAGCTGGAATGCAATCTTCCAAGGAAGAGGAAAACAAAATGGCCGCCATTAATGTCAGTCAGCCGTCTGCTCCGCCCTCCATGGCTTGTGGGTCATGTGACCAGGAGGGTGACAAGCCGCTGCACATGTTGGGAGGGTGGGAAGGGAGGATGAAGGGATGCCTTATAAGCAGATGGGGAGGAGGGCAGAATGTGTGCGAGCTTCCTTATAAGCTACTCAGAGGCAAAGCACAGAACTAGCTTCTGGTAACTTGAGTCAATTTGTCGGGACCATGTGCGCTTGCACTCTATCAGTAAGCTATACCGGACAGAGGGGGGAGCGCTCTTAAAATGGCTACACAGCCAGGGGTTAAGGGTCAGTGAGGAGAGGGAGGATGGTCCTATAATGCTAATAATACAGGTCATGGAATTCAGTGCCAAAATTACGTCACATCCCCAGCTGAGCGAGCCAGCCATTGCACCTCATGCCAGAAAGTTGTCTTTTTGCACCCCACATGGCTTGAATTCTTCCCTCACAGGAGATAGCTGGAATACCCATATACATCTCTTTCTCTCCTGTATAAAATGCTAGTACCCCTTCAGCATGCAGGCTTCATGTCAATATACCTCTGTCTCTCCGTCTGCGCAGTACGACTAGCATCTCATAGAAACATGCACACACCACAATACGGATTGTTTAAATACGAGACTGTAATGGATAACAATGTAACTACTTGAAAGCAGCCAGCACGCGGCCTGGCGCTGTCTAATGCTGCTATCGTGGATGATGATGTGGTTCTATGGTGGTGTGTTCGCTGCTGTTTACAGCAGCCGACATGGCGGATGTTGGCCAGTTAGCCGGGTGTCCACACTGGTTCGACCCACAACCGTAAGTTGTCGTGTGCCTCTACTGTGATGCATGGTTTGTGATTTGCTGGCATAGTGTTGCAGTGTGTCCCCATCCTGAGTGCCATCCATCCACCCACCCACCGACAGCCGTGTGTCCACCCATCCATCCACCCCACCCGTCTCTGCGTCCGTTGATGCCAAGTGGTCGTCTCAACTCTACCTCAACTAACTCCAATTGCTTTGTGTGGAACTGTTGTCAAATTAAAACTTTCCCTAATAAACAGTGAAACGTGGTCTAATGGGCTCCCATCGACCCCTGCTAACCCCTAACATGGCTTGCTGCCCAACCAGGGGGGCCAAGCTGCCTGTCTGCCTGACTTTTCTCTCCCCACTGGTTGAATGAAGGGAACCAACCATCCTTCCTAAACCATTGCTTTTTTGAATTTGGGAATTGTGTTTGATCCTGATTACCAGCTACAATTTAATAAAATTTTAGGTGAATTATTCAAGACTTGAACCAATTTGCTTTTCTGTAGCTGGTTGAAATCGGGCCAAATTGTAGCAGAGCTTCGGCATTTGGTCCCCTTCAACCAGCTGTAGTTAGCAATCTTATCAACAGATGGCGTCACCCACATAGCTGACCTTGTCGCCATGGTGATGGGTCAGCGGTAGCTGTTTGGCATGCTGATTTAACTAACACATGGGGCTGTGAAGAGTGAGTGAGAGGGAAACGGGAGACATATTTCGTCTCCTGTGATAAGATAACCTTCAAATCTTACCATATTCTCTATGCTAGCTGTCTAGTGCATCATTGATAACAAATGTTCTCAACCCAAACTGCAGTATCATCAACCATGCCAATCTGTATCAATTTAAAACAAATACAATTGACATACCTTTAAAGATCCAAAAATATATCACTACACATGTAATGTAGCATTAATACAAGCATCAGTTTTTAAACTGTTTGCAGTGATGTCTGAATTATCTCCCTTGATACAGCTATAAAAAGAATATTGGAAAAACTGTTGACAAACCTATCTGTCATTTATGGAGATGAATTTCTATGACCTTGAATCAACGTCTAGGTTCCCACTGAGAGTTCTGTGAGTGCACATGGTAAGTGGAACTACAGCATTTTTGTTTTCATCAATTTTGTTATTATATTCTATGTAGATAACTGGCTTATCTAAGAAATAGACTAGAACTGAATATACAGTGACACATGTCATATTTAAAGGAAAATTTCATCCTCCCCTCCTGTCTCACAGTAGAATATATTACAAAGCTGTGTGAAGCCATTGATGATATCATGGTCTCGGTAAATGCGGTTTGACAATTTCATCCTGAACAGAACAGTATTTAGAGCTATCATCATCATCATCATCATCATCACCATCTGGATCGTCAAATGAACATCAAAGCTATCATCAATTTTCCAAACAAGTAAATCATATGCATATTTAAATAATTTCAGAAACATGTAAATTTAGCTCACAAATTAAATGAAAGAAAAATCAGCAATTAAATGAAAAGTTAACAAATTACAGAAAGTATAAGATGGTTCCAGGTTTGGTTGCCATGGTTGCGATGCTTCTTCAAGGTGTGCGTTCTAGGCTGAGCACACAGAGTAGGCCCATGAAAGGTGAAAGTGTTATAAATAGTACCTCTAGTAAAACCAGCTGGAAGAAGGGGGACCAGGGGGTAGGGGGGACCCTATCTGTCTCTGTGTAGAATATGGCACATGGGTTTCCTCCCAAATCATGTCAAGCTTAGCATCGGATCAAATTACACCGGCTTCCCATTTCAAATTCCTCCACACATGGTGTAGAGTTGCCTTGCTCTCATCTAGTATTACAGCCGGACATTTTTGGTAGTAGTGGTATGTTCAATAAACTTGAATGACCTATGAGAAATCAATTCCAATCCTTGTCATTTCCAAAGTACATTTAAAGTACTGATTTTGTTTTCTTTATATTTGAGAGATGACCAAACATTCATAATGTGAACAGTGCATTTCTTTCATAAACTACACCAAACATTCTGATTCTCAATTTCCAAACAAAACTGAACATATTTTCGCTTTAACAATCAATATCAATGACAGTAATGATAACTTTTGTCTGTGAGATACAACAACACAATATACCCCTGTATTATGGGATTTCCAATACCTAAAAAGCACTCTTACAACTCTAAAACATCTCACTGTGTTATAAAATACAACTACACATAAACACAAGTCATCATACTAATAGTATCCTATTTATAGCAACATCCCACCTTATAACACAAATAAACACTGCTGCCCAAACACATATAATCAGACGATATACGATTAGGTATTTATGACTATGTAACTTAATGTAGCAAGTTGGCACTTATGTTTAATTCAATACAGTATTAAGTAAACATTAACAATTATAAGATATATGTATTGGACTTTGTATAAATTATTTTGATTATTTCTGCTGAACATTAGACTGTAATTTCATTGTTGAACACTGAGCCATATGTTCCAGGGGCTGGTGGCTACCGTCTCAAGGTGACACAACGACCCCTACCACAAGCAGTCGTCTCACAATACATTATCTGGAAGAGAGGAAATAAGGCTTACGCTGATCTGAACAGTATTTCAGTTACATAATGGCGTAAAGGGTTGATGTGGAAGGAAAGCCACAGGTTAAAGACATTTCAACACTTTTGAAAACCTCAAGAGTCTGAGAATGGTGCTAAGCTCACCAAATGATCATTATCAAGTGATTCTGGGATGCAAATCTATGACCCAAGGATTACGGAATGCTAAAGTGTGTACAAGGAAATGTAGCACCCCACATACATCTGTGCCATGATTGTGGATTTTAAATTTTTTAGTTATTTTTCACCGAAAGCATTTTTCAGTCTCGATCAGATGAAAGGAAGTCCAGAAAACTTCTCTTGCAAAAGATAAATTACGATAACAGTGAGGTGAGGTGAAACTGGGTTTTACGTCGTGCTTGAGAATATTTCGCTCATATAACGACGTGCATGCGTGTGTATGTGTATGTGCGGCTCCTCGTACTAGCCCAGACTTTAAGCTGGTTTATAGTACTAGCCCACTGAGATACCATGCCGCAGTGAAGCATGAATACCCCACTCAGACACATTATACTGACTCCGAGCCGACCAGTCCTTGTTGTACCCATTAATGCCGAGCGCCAGGCAGAGACCAACAAGTACCATATTTTAACATCTTTTGGTATGAAGCGGTCGGGGATCGAACCCGCGACCTTCCGCTCTCCGGGCAGACGCTCTAACCACTACACCATGGAGGCGGTTCTACGATAACAGTAAACTAGGGTTAATTTAACATTAAGGGACCACTAATTCTACCTTGTTAACCATAGTTTATTATATTATATGCATTAAGATGAAAATATACATTAAGAGGACAGAACAAAATACTGATACTTTCCTATATCTATCAGTTTGTTAAATTCGTATTTGATATCACCGTAGCTTGGTGCACTAAAGAAACCATTTCACTGACAAATTGTTCGTCTACACCTCAGACCACTATTAAAACTTGTGTCCCTTGAAGGTGAGTGTCCTGTTGCAGAGTTGTGGGAAAATACACACATATAATCATGATAATCCATCAACTGCAACATGATCATACCAGTACAGGCAATTTATCACCATGAAGTAAATTTACTGTCCAAATATCTCTGACATTTGTTGAAATATTTCCCTAACAGCTGTAATCGGCTGGAGCATTGATCAACAGAAGCTATCTCCAATCCACAATTATCTGGTGCTTTTTCATCCTCATCCTTGTTATCTCTCACACTGTCAACACTGACACAGCGCCACCTAGTAGTCAGTTACCTCCCTTGTCACTGTCCAAACTATTATCAGCACACCAACAGGAGGGGTAACAGATGAGCCAACATGATGCTCCCTGTCTAACTATAACCTCAGTTACTTCATATTTTTATGTCCACTACTCATCTCTTGCTAAGGATACTGAGACATTTCATATGGTTACTAAAGCTGAAAGGGTCGTTGTCGGCACGGGTACTACAGATAGGTATGTTTCTGTATACAGAAATGTACCCTGGCCATAATCAGAATACAGAAATGTACCCTAGGAAGATTCCATTCTGTATTGTGGAGTTTTCTTGATCGGAACTGTCATACTGTTGTATTAGATGCATTTGATTGCGTTATATAAGAGCATACACAGTAAAATGAATATTTAACGGTGCACAACGTACACCACTCGCAATCAGCTGAATGGGAATAACTACATACGGTTTCGGTATTGGGTCGCGGAATATGGACTCGTCCGTCGTTTAGGGTACCGGGTACGTTTCTGTAGTTTGACTTTGTTTAGGGTACATGTCTGTATACAGAACGTACCTGGGGTACATATCTGTAGTACCTGTGCCAACAACGACCCCTTCAGCGTTACTAAACTCAGAGAGAGAACAACTTGCTGGGATTTGGACTTGCGTTCATTCTTACTTCAAATGATGATGAAAGTTGTATACATCTCAGGGAGCTGAAACTGAAAATTGTCTGCACACTGATCCACTGACAAGGTATTCACTTTGAGATGCTTTAGGGTGTGGAAATAGTTTACTTAAAATATCTGTTGGTCGCAAGAGTACTTACAAGCAGTCAGTTATATTTTCCCTTTCTGGAAACTAAGAATATCCTTATCAAAACTTGCCCATGACGGCTTGCTGCCAACACAACTATAATACTGGACACTTACAAAATACATTATGAATGAGATCAGGGATTTTCTTACAACATATTTTCATTAAGCTTTACATATGTGATAGGTGTTTGAAAATTTAGGGAGACGTCTGATTGTTATCTGATGACAACTTTACAAATATATTCCAAAAAGATACTGATGTCTGTTCAGACAAGGTGCATCTTGGACAAAACATGGAAATGGTATATTTCATGTTGTACATCTGTTGATACTATCAATGGCACAGCAGGGTATACCGTAGATGATGATTGCTGACAGAATAACTGACTGATTTTGGTTTTACTCCGCTTTTAGCAATATTCCAGCAACATCACGGCGGGGGACACCAGAAATGGGCTTGACACATTGTACCCATGTGGGGATTCGAACCCGGGTTTTAAACGTGACGAGACAACGCTTTAACCACTAGGCTACCCCACCGCCCCGACAGAATAACTTGTCATCCAAGTAACATGGAGCAGTCCACAGACTTACAGTATTCATCCACAGTTCAATCAGTTGTTTCAAAACCAAATACATGTATCTGTATCTAGATGGATCAATTTTTAAAAATACAGCTCTTCTGTAATCCTGTGTATTATGCCAGTTTTAGTTCTTAGAGTTCAAGAGTACATAAGTCAATAATGCGTGCATGTAGGTCATGTGAATTTTGGTTTTGTTAGTTGCATAAAACAACAGTAAATACAGTCTGTAAATAATTTAGTCTGGCCCAGACAATCCAGTGATTGATGTCATGAGCATCGATATACACAATTCAAACACTGAAATTCAATCAAGTGAGTCATCTAGCTTGACCATTCCTGCTTGTCGTGACTTACAACAAGCAAGGGTTACTGAAGACCAACACTGACCCGAATATTTTGAGGGTGGCTGAATCGAGAATGATTTATCCTTTATATTTTATATCAATAGTCAAGAAAGATTTAATCATAATCCAACACATAAATAGTGATAACTTCTAAGTCATTAATGTAACAACTACACAACACATTGCAATAGCGCAAAACTAAATACATCTGAGAAGTGGACAATTTTTATTCAAGGGGGCAGTAGGGTAGCCTGGTGGTTAAAGCGTCCGCTCGTCACGGGTTCGAATCCCCACATGGGCACAATTTGTGAAGCCCATTTCTGGTGTCCCCCGCCATGATATTGCTGGAATATTGCTAAAAGCGGCGTAAAAACCATACTCACTCACTCACTCATTTTTATTCAAGTGCGCGATAAGGTCAGGCTTAACACCGCTTCGGGAACTAATCAGTATTCAACTTATTTACATATATATTTATTAGAACATCATAAGTAAATGTATCAGTGTTTGTGCATTTTGTGCCAGAAAAAAACATATGGACACAAAACTAGTGTTCTTAATATTACTGCCTATCGGGCTTAAATCTTACCATTTACTGGCTCAAGGGTCATAATTGTTTAGTCTGTCCACGAACCACATTATTTTCCCTTCCACCAAGCTCTTTCTGCAATGCTAAAGCCTTCATGACGCAAGTCCAAGATTTCCTGGGGTGCTGAATCTCTCACCGTACTGGGGCTCCTTTTTAATTTAAATGGAATTTTTTGTTACTATCAAAATTATATACCATATATGACCGTCTATAAGACGACCCCATGGATAAGACGACCCCCAAACTTGACCCTTAAAATCAGTGTCAAAATGGTATGTTTCGTGCATAAGTCGATCCCCCTCGATGGGGTCCTAATCGCGGGCAAACACAGACCACAGACAACTGGCAGTTACCAATAATTATAACTTTGGTCCACATTATTCAAAGAATTCACCGTCATATATATTGTGTCTACTACTCACGGATCGAAACGAAGTGTAGTTGACAGAAAATGCATAATATATTTTGCTTCTCTAAATATCATATTTATTGTAGCAACAAACTAGCCTGCTTATTTTACCCCATTCAACAATCACGAACTGATTACCGTCTCGTTTTCCATTGACTGCTAGTTTATAGTAACATCAGTAAAAATGTGTGAATTTAAATGGCATCCGTATTTTACCCCATTCCATGTGCTTACCACTTTCATGAGGGTCCGTATAACCTTAGTGTTGATTATATATATTTTACATAAAAACTGTAAATAAAATTACACAATGCTAGGATATATTTCTTTGGGTTAATTAGTAGTATTCTGTATTATATTTTACTGACGACTGCGTCAGAATTCATCCCGTTATATTATTGTGCATGTTTGAACTTGTTCGCCGGGAACGTGTGCACAGCTTATTGCTATTTCCGGCTCAAATACACACGGTAATCTTAATTAATTTATAGAGCAAAAACTGTAACTAAAATTACACAATGCTAGGATATATTTCTTTGGGTTAAATAATGGTATTCTGTATTATATTTTATTGATGACTGCGTCAGAATTCGTCCCGTTATATTATTGTGCATGTTTGAACTTGTTCAGCGGAAGCGTGTGCACAGCTGATTGCTATTTCGGCTTTGTGTATGCGAGACAAATCACGCGACGGTAATCTTAATCCCTGCAAATAATACAATGCCCAGCAAAAACAACTTATAACTTAAAAGGTAAATAATCTTGTCTAGTGATGTTTAATTGCAAATTTGACGTATCTACTGACAAAGTCGTCTTCTGTTGTTTGTTCACGCGAAGTGATACGATGTTGTTTTCTTACCCCTGGAAAAAAGTTTGACGAAAGCGTAACCCATGGATAAGACGACCCCCTTCTACAGACTGCTTTTTTTGGTCCTCAAAATTCGGCTTATAGACGGTCATATACGGTATATAATATTCAGAGACTAAGCATTAGTCTAAGATTAAGAATCATACTACCTACTGACTTACCACTACTAGAACATATATACTGTTATATTGGGGTACTTGCTCTGATTACAATACAGAAGAATTTCAAAATGCACACCACTTACTTCTTATACTCAACATCTCATGGTCAATCCAATGATAAACTGGCAGTATATGAACCAATCAGAATTGAAAATCAGAAATGAAATATGCTGCCATTTTTCAGGTCAATTCAAAACACAATTAAAACTTTCTGATCATGAGGCCAGGTCTTTTAATTAAAAATATTAGCATTAATACTTTTGATCAACAAATATTTGCATGTTCACCTAATTCAGGATAATAAATCATTATCAATTCACTCATACAAAAAC